GCTCACCTGGTACTCGGCTTTTTCAGCGAAGAGTTGCACAGACTTCCCAACTTCTTTAAGCACCATGAGCGTCAACCTGGCATCCAGCTTTGCAGCCTCAACCTCCTCCTGGATCCGTGCCACCAGCTTCGCAATCGGCTCCTCTGAAGTCGGAAGGCGAAGGAGAGTGGACGAAGCAAACATGTTGTTGACAAGGTCCGTGAGTCGTGCAAGAGTCTGGCCAAGGTACGCATTCTGGAACGGTTCCAGCGTCGTCACAAGCTGCTGCCTGTCCGCGTCCTTGATCGCCGGGGACGCACCTTTAACTTCCGTGTCGCGGACAAGCCTCTGGAGAAAGTTGTCCGCCACCCCGAGCAGCTTGGGATATCCCAGCACGAAGATCTCCTTGACAAAGCTCGATGAAGTGAACGCCGACTTCATCTGGCTGGCAAATGCCTTGACAATAGCCTCCCACACCCTCTCGGTCAGCGAGGCATCTCCAGCCTGCAAAGCCACACATTCGTGTTCAGTCACAAAAACTAAGAAGAACCTTGCGAGCAAGCAAAGCTTTGCTCTACCTGGACAACTTCATCGATGAAGCTGGCGTGAGAAACCGGATCCCTCTTCTTGATCATGACTCGCTCCAAGTGCCACACCGCCACCAAGATGGAGTGAAGCTGCTCCATGCATTGCCCAAGTCTCTGCCACAACCCATCCCTGGCCCTGGATCCAGCTCCCAGCTGCGGCGTCCCACTCCTGTGAGCTCCCCCTGGCCCCGCTGGGCCTGTGGCCGCCGCCGCCACGCTCGCGGAGATGGCCTTCATGTCGAGAGCACTCGCAATGCTCTTGACCGCCTGGCTCTTATACTTCTGGATCACGCTCTCCACCGTCGGCCGGAGCTCCCCGAGGTTGAAGTAGACTTGGAGCGCGGCACCAACTTGAGCTTGGTTGAACGCTTTCATGCCAGCTTCCAGGCTCCGCATGGCCTCGCTCCGGATCTTGGTGCCAGCCTCCTTGAGCCAGGCCAGCTCCGAGTCCACCACCTCGATCCCGGAGAGATCAGCGTCACTGCGGAGCCCATCGATCTCGCTCCACAGCTGCGCGGCCTTGGAGAGATCGGTTGGCTTGGAGGAATCGACGACGAGCTCGCGGAGGCGCTTGAGCTGCTTGAGCACGCGCACCACGGCGCGCAAGAGCTCCACGGTGGTGTGGAGGGAAGAGAGCTGCGTGGACTTGGATCGAATGCTCTTGTATGGCTCCGCTACCTCGGATCTCACCCGGCGCACGGAATTCTCCAGGCTCCCCACCCCGATCTTCACCACGCCCAGCGCGCCCTCCATGTCCTTGACGCTGCTCAGCTGCTGGACGAGCTCACTGTGCCGCAGTACGACCTCCCGCCTCAGCTGCTTCTCCAGCAGCGCCATGCCCTGCTCCACCTTCTCGGCCGACGCCGCGGCCGAGCCACTGCGCAGCGCATCGCTCGCGAACTGCGTCGCGTTGAAATCCTCCGACACAAACCTGCACAGCACCGGATCCCGGGCCATCTCGGCCAATGCATCCACCTCGGCGCCGCCAGCATCCTCCTCCTCGTGCTCGCGATCTCGAAACGAGGCAGATCGCATCCTGGGCGTACCCTGCTGGATCGGCATTGTCACTCCCACCACAAACCCTAATTAGGGTTTATCCAAGAAACAGGGGACAATGTCTCTCAGCTCCATTTTCGACGAGGGGATTCTCAAGGCGGAGCTCCAGCGCCATGGCATCAAGCCGCTACACGTCTACACCATCTGGAGGTAACAATCTCCATCGCGAATGGATCGATCGATCGCTCAATCGTCTCGTTCGTGCCCAGGCATGTCATGGATCACCCAAACGCGGCATTGCACCAGGTACCGGGGCTTCCTGGCGCGCTCTATCCACTGCTGCGTACTAGATTTAAGGCGCTCACGTCCACATTGGCCGCTCACTCCACCTCCGCGAACGGCAGTACCACGAAGCTCCTCCTCCAGCTCCAAGTAAAGTTTTTTTACGTTGTTCTTCCTTCTATCTCATGCTTGTTCTCGTGTGCTTAGAACAGAGTGGCCAATCTGTGGAGACAGTGATCATGCGGCATCACGGTGGAGCTGGGAAGTACGCCGGGGGCCCGAGACCTGGATCTGATCGTGCGACGCTTTGCGTCTCGTCTCAAGTGAGTGACTCGATCTCGCCTTTGGTTTTTTTAAGTGATTCTACTCAAAGTTCTTCAACTTCTAGGTGGGCTGCAAGATGGGCTGTAGCTTCTGCGCGACTGGGACGATGGGCTTCGTGGCCAACCTGACCGCGGGAGAGATTGTGGAGCAGTATGTTCACGCATCAAGGATGAGCCCCATCAGGAACATTGTTTTCATGGTGCGTTTCCTCCATGGAGTCCTATCAGATCTCACGCACTGTTTCTTCATTGAGCAGGGGATGGGAGAGCCTCTTAACAACTATAACTCGGTGGTGCAAGCCGTGCAAACACTCACTGGACGCTGCTTTGGCCTGTCGCCAAGTCGTATCACCATCTCCACTGTAAGAAGTCTCAAACAAAACTCTTGTTTCAGCGCCTCCATCTTTTCCTTCCAGGTGGGAATTGTGCCTCGGATACTCTCGCTAGCAGGCGATCTCCCTGGCGTGAACCTGGCGCTGTCACTCCACGCTCCCACTCAAGCACTGCGCTGCCAGATCGTACCAGCCTCCCGGGCCTTCACGCTTGACAAGCTCATGGCCGCCGTGGATGCGTATCAAGCATCAAGGTGAGCTCCAGCTCGAAGCTCCAGTTGTGTGAGTACTCACTCTCTCCCGTGCAGCAATCGCACGCTCTTCATCGAGTACGTGATGTTGCAAGATGTCAACGATTCCTCTCAAGACGCTCGTCAGCTCGGGTGCCTGCTGCGAGACCGTAAAGTTGTAAGTTCTCCAGGTTGGTTTCTCGTCCCAGAGATTGAGATTTCATGGCTGGCTTTGCAGGTGCTCAATCTCATCCCTTACAACCACACTTTTGTGGTTGGCGACTACAGGGCGACTCCGGCGGATCGCGTGCACCACTTCCAGAAGATCGTCCGAGAAGAGTTTGGGATCCGCACGACCGTCCGCCAGGAAATGGGACAGGACATCGATGGAGCTTGCGGACAGCTCGCTCTCAAGAAACTCAAAGCTTCACCAGACATGGAGGACATCTTCCTCGATCTCCAAAGGAGAGAAGAGAGTCGGAGATAGAACCAAAAATCTCTCTTTCTTATTTTGGCTACGTGAAAGAAGAACAAACGCATCAGGCTTCTCGATTTTTCTTCCTCCGCCACACGGTCTTCCCTCTTACGAGTTCTGAGCCGTCACTCTGCAATCGCAAGAGGTGAAGCAGGCACGGCGGCTGCTCCACAGTCTCCTCGCCACTTCCGCCAAAGTTCGCTGTCTTCGTTTCCAAATTGTCGTCCGCGATCAAGCAATCTGCATGTTGTACCCAGGTCATCGACTCTACAACGTCATTCTGGCCGCATTCTCGCCGGTACTCCAAAGTTAAGCTCGATACTTCGTGGTCTTGAACAATAGAGAGAGGCACGCTCTACACAACCCGAGCGAGTTAGAGAGACCGCGGCTTCTACTTTAAAATCTTTTAAATCTCACCTCGAGCATCCATCCGATGTACTTTACGTTGTTCACGTGCTGGTTCATGTCCAAGTCTCCATGCCTTGGCTGCAAATGCAAAGATGATACTTTAAAAAAAGCGCAGGAAAGAGAAAGGAAAGTGAGATGGATACTCACTGTCAAACCCGAGCGGGCAAACTGTGTAGCGCCATCGACCTTGGTGATTTTGTGCGAGACGTTTCTGACAATGGCGCGTCTTTGGAGATAGAATGGAGTTATTTCCTCCCGGACGTCGTCGGGCATCTTAGAAAGCCTCCTCGTCGTCTGATTCATCACCACCCAGGTGCTGCAAGAACAAGCTCATCAATGTTTCCATCACAATCAAAATCTCACACAGCACACCTTGTTGCTCTGGCCAAAATCTGGCCCGACTTGTAATCTCGCATGAGCCAGTCCCTGCGCATGCCATTTTTACCCGACGCGTCCACCCAAGTATCTATCTCAATCGCATCGCCCCTACAAAGATCCACAAAGATCGTCACAAAGTCTGGAACAAAAGAAGAAAGTGAGCATACCATGAAGCGTAGCGCTCTACTTGGACATGCACTCTCGACACCACCCATATCAATCGGTGCCGGATCATTGCATGCGTTGCTCCAAATCCATCTCCAGCAAGCCCGGACATCCAGACGTGGTTTAACGCAACCTCCTGGAAAACCATCACTAGAAACTCTGTGATCACTTGTCCAGAGCTTACGAAGAGGAGCACTGAGAGAGCTCACTCACCTGGAAATGGTTCATGAGTGTTTCTATGGAGGCCGTCTTGTCCACCCCGACTTCATACGATCGAATGACGAAGGTCTGGCGATAGACGAGCCTCCCTTCCACGAGCCTGCCCTGCCTTGGAGATTCCAGCGCCAGACTGTAAGGCCGAGGCGATGCCACCAGGAGCGCTGCTATGGCTGCCAGCACCGTGTTGAGCGAGGAAGCGCCGCCCTTTTGCAACTCCTGGCCGGGATTTCCGTTCAGCTTGGAGGATTCCAGGCGCGTCCCGTTGATCGCCAATTCATCCGCCTTGGTTGCCTCCTGGAGGCTACTCCTCGCCGCGATCCTCGACCTTGGAAACAAATACCTCAGCTCTGCCGATCCATGGAAGAAGCGATACGACGACGTCGATGCCGTGCTCGCGGAGCTGATCCTCGACACTGGAAAAGCATCCATGGAACCTCGCCAGGGCCGATTCCCCGATGCCAATCGTGCATGCGCTACAAACTCGTAGATCCGCCGCGCATCACAATGCACGGCGATAGAATCCTGTGCCGGAGCTGCTGGATCGCGCGACCGGGCGTTGGAGATCACAGTGGCGCCATCCCCGCCGCCTCTCCACGGCGCCGGCGAAACGCGAGAGAGGAAATCTCTTTAGCAAAGAAAAAGGGCGAATTAATTAGTGCTAACTTAAACTGGATGGTCCTTAACTGTACGCGTGGCAGTGCGTTGCCGGCTGGCTGGCTAGCTGTCCGCCCGTACCACGGCAGCCAGACCCTCCCTGTACGACGGAAACATGAGCTCCACTCCCAGTTCTTCCTTGATCCTCTTGTTCATCACGCGCTTCTCCGCCGCCGCGCTTCCTCCATCTCCATTTCCTGGCGATTCTTCCTTAAGTTCCATTCCCAGGAGCTCCATTCCAAAGGCCGCAACCTCAGATCTCGGGGCCGGATCGTCGTCGACGACGTTGTAGATTCTCCTGCGTTTGCTACCAAGTTAGAGTTGGATTGACAACCGGTTTTGAGTTACCCGGAATGTGGTGACTCCATGCTCGCCATCAGGACCTGGCACACGTCCGAGACGTGGACTCTCGAGGTGAAGCGACGGGAATGCCTCGCTTCACTCACTCTTAGTTGCCTAGCGCCTTGTAAAGTATCCAGGACGCTGGAAAGGAAACAAAAAAAACCACTAACTCAGATTGAACAATATCGCATTACCTCCGACCAGGACCATAGATTCCACCAGCTCGGAAAATTTGCACTGACGCATTACTGTGCTGAAGCTCTAGCCACGAGTTCTCGGCGGCAACCCTCGCTTTTGACTTTCGATCCACTGGCTTCGCCTGCGTGCTGCAATTGCTTTGTTGGTTTAGTTATAAAACAGAAGCTTTCTTTTAGAAAATACTGACCTTTCGTCCACCCAGCCGCCTCGGTGATCGCCATATACTCCTCCAAAACGTAAGTGAGTCAATCACAAAGCTTACAGTCACAAAACCAATATACCAGTGGAAGATATGTATCCAATCCAGCGAAGTGCACGACACCGAGCTTCTATGTCCTCCAAGTGCATTTTCAAGACCTGCGAGCAACGACATACTCAAATGCATCAATCCCCAAAACGTACCGTGTCTGTCAGTGTATCCGGGTCCGGAGGCACACAGCTGACGAGATGAGTTGCTTGGTATAATGCCTCCAAGCCACCGTTGCTGGGGAACGACACCGAAGTTCAGTTCAGGCGAAAAAGACATGGTTCTTACTCGAGACTGACACCAGGGCCGAAAATGTAAGCATCCACTCCGTAACATTCTTCCAGCGTCCTCCTCTTTTCCGCGCTGCGGCAAGTCCCAGAAACCGTCCTGCTAGTCTTACGAGTATTGGTAAAAAACAAAACTTTGAAACAAACAAGAACACTAACCATCCCCTGGTACGAAGTTGCTTTCCAAGTTCAACCCCTGTGTAACCAAGGCCAAACACGAACATGGACTGGTTCGTGCTCGTTTCCAGCACCTCATTCTTCGTCTTCAACAGCCCTCCTGAACAAGACCACACTATGGTTCGCATCTTACTTTCTTACTTACACCAGTGGCAGCCCCAGAGATGAATATTGCTTTGCTTTACAACAAACTGCGCTGTACAGCGGCCCTTTTAGGCCAAACGTTCCCAAATGTCCCCCCCCCCCCCCCACCCCTCCCTCCCCGGATCCCACAGAACACTAGGTACCTAAGTATTAAAACGCACCAGGGTCAGCGCTTTTGGAAATTGATGTACTTGATGGAATACGCAAACCCAAACCAGAAAACCACGATGTAGGCAATAAGGACAGCAACGCAATATCCAAGCCAATCGTGCCTGAAGCCGAAGTAGTGCCGCAAAAAAACGTCCACCTGAATCGTACCATAGCCTTGTGCAGTCATACGTTCCTTGACGTCCCCTAACTGCGAGCCGATCAGGCCATATAGAGTCCAGGCAATTGGACTGATCCAGTAGAACCAGACCCACCAGCCAGGGATAAGCTGCCAGAGTAGAAAAAAGAAGCATTAGTTCCCGTGGAGTGTCGAAATGTATACTCACAGGCTGTGGTATGATAAACCCGGAGAAAAGATTCCATAGGGAGTAAAATGCAGAAGAGATGACCGCTGCTAGTTGCTGCGACGGCGTCAGGCCAATGGCCATCATCCCGTAAACCGTGAAGTACGTGAAAGTTAGAAACATGAAGAGCAAATACCAAAAGAATTTGGCTGCAAAAAACAGCGCATCATTATTCCAAGGCCACCAATTTATACTCACTAGCAGTACCGGCAGTCCATTCAAAATGGATCATTGAGTATGTGACGAGGCCGTAAATGATAGTTTGCAGTACAAGGTAAGGGATCTCGATGGCACCCTGTGAAGCACTCGAGCTTCAGTGCAAAAGATAGAAATTACTTGTGCTTACTTGTGCGAAGGCATACGGCAAAGGCGAGTACATTCCAGCCGCTCTTTCGCGATAAAAGACCGTGCGCTCAACGGAGACAATCGGTTGTACGCTTGAAGCGTTATTGATCCCAAGAAACAACACCGCTGCATAGAGAGCTCCCATGACGTTAAACAGATCTTGTTGGCTACCCCTGGGAGCAAAAGAACATGGTTTAGAAAAACTTTGTTGACTTGTAATCAAAGACTGTACCTTTTGCTTCCTATGTCCCAGAAAACGGAGCCAAAAATCAAAGCACAAATCAGAGTAAAGAAAAATCGAACAGCGTTGTAATTTGGGCTGCGCCAATACGTCAAGTTTTGCTTCCACAAGCATGCTTTAAACTGTGTCATTGAATCCTGAGAATACTCCGTTGGAAAAGAGAGATCTCTGGAACTAGGTGGTGGCACACTCAGTTCCTCGATAAGCTCTTCTATTTCCCTGCAGAGAAATGATGCATATTTTATCAAAGACTGATCATATACAAGACTGATGTACCTGTGTAAATCCGAAACAGAGTAAATGTCAGCAAAGTCCTTTTTCAGCCGCGCCTCTGCCGCAGGACTAGTTACTTCAAGCATCCATGTTGCAGGATTATATCCGTCTTTAATAATTGGAACGCCTTCAACGGTCTGTGGATTTTATGCAAGCGTTAGCCTCTGACAAGCGCATGCAAGGCATACCATGAAATAATCAATCATCGTTTGAGAGTTCTCCCCGAGCGGTCCCATGTAGATGACACGACCACCTCTTTTCATCAGCAAGAGCTCGTCGAAAGCCTCAAAGATGTCAATACTTGGCTGATGAATCGTGCAAACTACAGTGCGCCCTGTATCAACAGTATTTCGGACTGTCCTCATCACTATCGCGGCAGCACGAGCATCCAGTCCGGATGTGGGCTCATCCATAAAGATTATTGAAGGATTGGCCACGAGTTCCACAGCAATGGTCAGCCTTTTCCGTTGCTCAGTAGAGAGACCGGTGCTCCCTGGAAGGCCCACCAGAGCATTTCTTAGCGTATCCAGCTCCACCAGGGACATTATTTCTTCCACAAACGCCTGCAACCAAAACAACATGAGACAAAACCATCCGAAAAACAAAATCCCTCTTACATATCTGGTAGTTTTGTTCACTTCTCGTGGAAGCCGTAGCCACGAGGAATACAGTAAAGACTCGTAAACGGTCACTTGAGGGGAGTGAATGTCCGTCTGCTCCACGTATCCAGAAATACGAGCGAAAGTCTTCTGAACTTTGGAGTAGCCAGATACTCGTATATCACCTTCTATATATCCACCCGTCTTTCTCCCAGCAAGAACATCCATCAGCGTCGTCTTGCCCGCACCGCTTACACCGACAAGAGCAGTCAAGACACCAGGCCTGAATGCACCGCTCACATTACGAAGAAGCTGTAGTCGAGCGTCAGTCAGGCCCTGGCTTCTCATTTCCTGATAGCCACAAACAATAGTGCTCAACAGAGAGCAAGAGATAAAAAAAACACGTACTTACAGCAGGCATATCGACGTAGTAGCACATCTTCAAAAACGTCAAGGACAAAGGCTGAAATGGCAAGATCATTCCTTTCTTCTTGCCTGAATCTCTTTTTTCCAGTGCAGCCACATCCAGGGTCATTTCCGGAGTCCCATCGGATCGAAACGTTCTCTTTGTCGCTGTTTCTGTACGAGTAATAAACCTGAGATGATATAATGGCAAGAGAAAGCGTCGATCCCTACCTGGAACAGCAGCTTCAAGTGACGGTGGCTCAACAGGATCCTCTGGGATGACAGCCTGTGGTTTCCCCAGCGCTGTTACAATCGCCAGATCAATTAACTTAGCACTCCAAACCGAGAATGAGAATGCTTACGATCTAGATACGCAAACGCAAGGATCACAACCAGGTTGAACAAGAGCATATACCCGATCAGCACGCCCACTCCCACCCAGTACCACCAACTTTCCAAAAACAATCCTCTTGGCTTCATTATGTTGATATAAAGCTTTCTATATCCAGTGGCAACATTCTGCAAAACAAGAGTGCTCGAGTAATTAGAATACTCTCAGCTTCAACGAAATTAAACCTGGTTCCATCGAGGAGCGAGAAATTCATTCACAGCTATGGCATTCTGTGAATAAGAGAGAGGCGAAAGCCAGTACCCCCATATCCACCAAGGATGTATGTCATCTGTGATAGCAGACAGTTAGCCAGCGCAGCGAAATAAAATAACAAAGAAAGGCCAAAACTTACTTCTAGCTATAATAAAACCACCCAACAAAAATACAATAAGAAGAGCGAATGAACCGAAGGTATTTGCTACCACCATATCTCTAGCAAGAGCTCCAATCAGTCTAAAGATTGCCAATGCCATTTGATGCATCAGCATTAATAGAAACATGTATCGGAAGAACCTGGGGACAAAACATCAACTTTCAGCTTAAGTAACACAGAAAAGTTGTGCCAATACCTGTCAGCCTCTGGTGTGAAGCCTACGCAATAGTATATAATACAGGACCATATAACCGCTTCCACCACCGAGTAAGGGATTCTTAGAAACCAGCTCGGCAACGAAAACGCCCAAGCTGGATAGAAGCGATTATCTCTCTGCTTGTAGAAGACAGGAAGCCTATGAACCGTGATGGCCATCTCGGAGAAGCCATTAAACATCATATGAATAAGCGCAAAAAACAAGCAGCCGAGGTACATATTCCCGTAGATTTCATTAGTCGGCTCTATTGTCGTTCGAAGGAACAACGTGCCCGTAATTATTGCCATTATGGCTACCTGAAACAAAGGAAAACAATAAGAAGATCACGAGGAGGAGAGAAATTGAACTCTTACCTGAGTAGTTTTAAAAATGTAGAGAAATCTGTGACGTGAAATCAAGAGGATTTCTCGTTGGGTGCATGCCTTGAACAATTCCCAGCTTGACATTGCATACTTTCGTTTCGACAGAGCCGAAGGATGGCTGCCTGCTTTGTTATAAGGGGTGGCAAGGTGCGCGCTAAGGTCTTTACCAGCTTGATAATCTTGGAATGCCTCGGCAAACACCGCGACTGGAATGTACTGGTATGGCCTGCTCTTGTCTGCCCAGTATTGCTTCTGATCCTTCTTCGAGGTTACCTGTAGGGAAAAACTGTTAGAAGAAAAGAACAGGGAACCAAAAGCAACTCAATACCTCTTGAAGAAAATCAGCAACTCCTTTCCGAGGGGGCAACTTAAAACCCATCGATTCGAAAAAGTGTAGTATGCTCTCTCTCGGACCGAGATAAACTACGTATCCTTCAGCCAGTAGCAACACGTCGTCAAAAAGGTCATACGTTTCTGGAGGAGGTTGAAGAAGCGCCATCAGAACTGTCCCTTCTAGCAAATGAACAAAATTTCTGACGCACTTGACGATTTGAAACGTGGTGGAACTATCGAGCCCGGTCGAGATTTCGTCCATAAAAAGCGTCTTTTTCGGCCCCACAACCATTTCACCTGTGAGGAAGACGTTCTTAAGTTGCTGAGTTCTCTTGTGCTTGGTTGAGGCATTTGACTATGAAGCAAGCGAAGGTGTTGTAACCTGTAGTCACGCGTTTCTTCTGCCCTCCTGAGACGCCACGAAGCATTTCATTCCCCACCAAAGTGTCGGCACAAACTTCTAAGCCAAGCACCTTCATCATGTAGTCTGTAGCCATACTGTGCTTTTTCCCTTTAACAGCCATTGCCTGTAACCATAAAGTTTAGTGGAAAGACTAGTCCTTGAAATCTAGACGGCCGGACCTTCATAAAGGCATCAATTTCAGGATCCGGGTGAATGTGTCGCTCCTTCTCTCTGCCGACTAGCTCGGTTAGCATCTCTGGAAAAGATCCAAGGAGTAAGAATCTAGCGCCAAAGTTTTTGCTACTACGCACCGTTTTTGTAGCCAACACCTTGGCAGCGAGCAGAAAAATCCAGTGTCTCTCGGACAGTCATCTCTCCAATGTGGTTGTCCTCTTGACCAATATACGCAGAAGTTCCCAGGGGTTCAAACTCGTTGAAGCCATGGCCGTTGTAAGTTATTGTACCGGTTGCCTGCGAGCAGAAAAGACAGTTTACCGCAAAAGAAAGCAAACCAGGACACACCCTCAGATCCGCTTCAAGCTTTCCAGCGAGTGCCACCAGCAACGTCGACTTTCCAGCTCCAGGCGGTCCCAGCAAAAGAGTCATTCTGCAAGGAAGGAATCCAGCACCAAGATAAGAGAAATGGAGGTAAATGAAGCAGCTCACCTTCCGGGTTTGATGACCCCACTCACGTCCTTGAGAATCTTAAAATCCTTCTTGTCCGATGACATGATCTTCATAGAAACTAGCATGTCCTGAGAAGAAAAAAAGAGAGCGGTCTTTGATCTCAATCGATAAAGTAAGCCAGTTACCTCCACAAAATTCCTCACGAAGTTTGTGAGGCTTGGTAAAGCTCTCGATCCAACGTGAACATCAGCACTGATCCGGAGATGCTCGAAGCGAACCTCCACCGTGGGAAGCGCAATGCGGACCCTGTCAAGTCAGTAGTTCTACAGTGAGCTCCTCCTCCTCTGCCGAGATGAAAGCCAGCAGCCAAGAATCGATCGATGGACACCGACCTCTGGAGGCGCTCCTTGAGCCGCTGCAAGAGGTGGAGATTGTCTTGATCGGTGGTGGCAAACGCGCTCTCCAACACCCGCTGCCTCTCACCCCTGCTCAGGTACCTCACATCCACCGGGATCTTCTCCGCCTCGTCCAAAAAAACCATGCGGAGGCGCTCGTAGGCTGGGAACTCCTCCAGCGCTGCCCACATGAGCGCTTCCGCGTCCTCATTGTCCTCCATCGCCAGTGATTTCCTCGCAAACGGCGTGCCGTGAGCATCGGTGCTGACATTATCCTTCCATACCTTTGACGATCGATGCTCGGGATTTAGAAACAGGCCTCCCATCGGGGCCGCGGCATCTGCCGCCATTGCTGCGCGCCCTACACACTACTGCCGAGGACGCTAGGGCATCGCGAGCATCCACACAACATCAGCTCCATCAGGCACGCACGGCGCCTTGAGAATGCGGCTGGATCGCAGTCCTCCGCCCACGTTTTTGAAATGACCAGGCACCAAGAACCCTAATAACGGAAATAAACGCGTCTTCGAAAGCTAGGGTTATTTGGGGCAAGGCGTAGATCTGCTAGATCCAGGAGGAGGCGATGATGGCGAGCAGTGTGGCGACGCAGCAGCAGAGCTTGGCGCCGACGCCAGCGGCTCGGGCTTTCCTCTCCCGTCTCTCCGATGGTATGAAGATGGCGGTTGCGCAGCGCAGGCCGTGGAAGGAGCTTGTAGATCGCAACTCGCTGGCCAAGCCCGAGTCCCTCTCCGACGCCCTGGGCCGGATCCGCAAGAACATCGGCTACTTCAAGATCAATTACATCTTGGTCGTGCTGGGCTGCATCGCGGCGAGCCTGGTCTATCATCCTCTCTCGCTCCTCACGCTCGGGGTGCTGGCATTCATGTGGTACTACCTCTATCTCGTCCGCACCGAGCCCGTCGTCCTATTCAATCGGAGCTTCAGCGAGCGCGAGGTGATGATCCTCATGGGGATCGTCTCGGTCGTGGTGGTGTTCCTCCTCTCGGACGTGGGATCGCTGCTACTGTCGGCGCTCACGATTGGCGCGGTCGCGGTGAGCCTTCATGGGGCTTTTAGAGTTCCCGACGATCTCTTCCTGGACGAGCAAGAGGGCGGCGCTGGATTCCTCTCCTTCCTCGGATCTACCAGCAGCACCAATCCTCCAGTGGCGAGCCACGTTTGAGGATCATCATCAAGCCAGTTCTACCTATTTTGCCTATTTTGCTTTGTTGTTGTTCTAGCACATCACACGGAATGTTAAAAGGTTTGATCATCGCGTGGGCTGTTCTCCGCCGTAGGATGAATCGTCGTGGATCCCTGCCGCGCTGGAAAGTGTAGGAGAATATGCCCCCGGATAAAAACTTAGTGACTTAGGGTTTGTGGACGAGAGCTAGGAGCGAGCGATCCACACGCTAGCCCGATGTAAGTGATGTTGATCTAAGGCCGCCCTCGGGCGCGCCTCTTGCTGTTAGATAGATTGGAGGCTAGATCGCTAGGAGAGAGGGGGAGGGAATAAAATGGCGCCCACGGCCACCACGGCTGCAGTGTCAATCCCTCTTCCTTCGCGCCCTCCGCGCCTCGACGCTGTTGTTGCTGCCGACGATGCCGGGGAATTCGACTTCTCGGACGTTTTTGGGCAACTTCCATCCGTCAAGGAGGGCGAGGCTGCGGATTGGGGCCAGCCGGAGCTCCACTACGTCGCCGACACGCTGGTCATTTGTAGCCGGTCACACTCGCTGGTTGGGCCGTCTCCTCGTCCCAGCTTGAGAGTTGGCTGCCCGCTGGAGGAATGCGCGGCCGGGGACGATGCTGGTGAGGACTCCGACTTCTCCGACGCTGTGGATGTGGAGCAGCAGCAGGAATTCGACGACACCACTCGCAAGCTCGGGCCTGGCGACTTTGAGCTGCTCAATCTCGTGGGTCAGGGCGCCTTTGGGAAAGTTTTCCAGGTCCGCTTGAAGGGAAGTAGCGACATCTATGCCATGAAGGTGATGCGCAAGGACAAGGTGCTGGAGAAGAATTATGTCGACTACATGAAGGCCGAGCGAGACATCATGACCAAGATCGTGCACCCTTTCATCGTTCAGCTGCGATGCTCCTTCCAGGTACTCGAGTTTTGCTTTGCTTTGTGGTTTGCTGAATGTTCTTCCAGACCAAGACGAAGCTGTATCTCATTCTGGATTTCATAAATGGCGGCCATCTTTTCTTCCAGCTCTATCGCCAGGGGACTTTCAGGTACCTTTGTCTTTCGCTTCCTTCATGCATTTAGCATTTACTTTCCTTGCCTGGCAGCGAGGATCTCTGCCGCGTCTATGCGGCAGAGATTGTGAGCGCAGTGGCACATCTACACTCGAAAGGCATTGTACATAGGGATTTAAAGCCTGAAAATATTCTTCTCGACGCTGACGGCCATGTAAGCTACTCGAGTCGAGGCACTACTCGAAATCTAACACTCTGGATTGATGGCACAGGTCAAACTCACTGATTTCGGGCTGGCTAAAGAGATTGAGGAATCGGATCGAACGAATTCTTATTGCGGCACGGTTGAGTACATGGCACCCGAGATCTTACTCTCAAAGGGACATGGGAAGTCAGCTGACTGGTGGAGCCTTGGAATCCTGGTGTATGAGATGCTACACGGCATGGTAAGAGAAACCATCCGTTTCCTTTTTCAAGTGTTCACGTCGTGTTCTTGCAGCCCCCATTCACAAATCGCAACAAGAACAAGCTCCAGCAAGAGATAATCAAAGGGAAGCTCAAACTCCCGGGATACTTGTCAAGTGAAGTCCATTCTCTGCTAAAAGGGGTACGTAGCATGGAAGTCTATGGAGGCGAGCAGAGCATGACTGTATCGTATTTGTTTCTTTGCAGCTCTTGCACAAGGACCCCAGCAAGCGACTCGGGAGTGGCGGGAACGGGAGCTACGATATCAAGCGGCACAAATGGTTCAAGTGTATCAACTGGACCAAACTGGACGCTGGATTGATCCAGCCAAAGTTTGTGCCGGTCGTCCAAGGCCGGGCCTGCATTGCAAACTTCGACGAGAAGTGGACCACGCTTCCGGCGCAGGATTCTCCAGCGTCCACTCCTCGAGCAGCCGATATCGACATGTTCCAAGGCTACACTTACGTCGCACCCAACGTTTGGCTCTCTGGCAGCAGCTCTTGAGACGGACGACGACACCGTACAGTGAAGAACCAAATCTCTCTACACTTAAACGTATATAAAAAAAAGTGTGACAGCCTTTCGAAAGTGAAAAAGTGTGTAGTGTTCTAGTCCCAGATCATCACCACCGCTATGACGGCGGCGCCAAGCACGACCGCCAAAAATCTGTAGAATGGTGTGTCCCAGAATGATGCGCGATCGGGAACAAATCCTTTGGCCAGGAGATGGTTGATGGCTACGTAGACAAAAACTCCACACGCGATTCCCATGGAGATGGCGTAGATCCAATCCGCGGCCGCTCCCTGAGTCGTGGAGTCGATGATGATCCCAATGGCGACGCCAATCGGCGTGGAGATGGCGAATGCGAAGGAGTAGAGCGAGGTGGAGAGCAAGGGCCTGTTGGGCATGATCTTGAGCAGCGCGATTCCCATGGCGATGGCGGCAAAGAGCTTGTGAAGGCATATCGTCCACAGATTCCTCCATGCGTCTCTCTCGGTCGCTGCGAAGCACAATCGATCACGGGGACGCATGAGATGGATCGTCAACCAGCTTGCCTGCAATGCCGATCGCGATTCCCTCAAACACCGAGTGGAAGCAAAGAGCGATGATGAGTAGCAAGCTATCGCCAAAGGACGCCTCCTTGACGATGGCGGGTGCGGTGACGATGTTCTTCATGTTGAGAGTGTTGTCCTCCTGGAAATTTGCAGCATTTTGTCAGTGTCGGCCTAGAAGAAACACGGCTTCACTTACAACAGTAGAACCCTCCTTGGTGAGATCATCGCCTTTCTCTGAGGATCTCAGTGGAAATGAGGAAAGCACGTAGCGATGACTTACCAGCGGTGGCGGTGGCGGCCTCGGCATCGCGTAGCTTGGCTGGATCAGCGTGGTGGCGAGAAGCATCGGTCCTGGAGTAGACGCTGGAGATGATGCAATCGCCGAGCATGGTGAGCAAGTAGCCGGCGGTGGCGAGCATGTAAGCAAAAGGATAGCTTTTGCTGGTCCTCTCCTCGAATGTCTCGTTGGCATCGGAGAGGAAATGCATGAGCGCGGTGCCCAGGAAGACACCGCCGGCGAATTGCGTGCCCAGCACCAGAAAAGACGAATGCCAGCGGAAGAAGTAGGGCGAGATTCCAGACAAGAAGGTCGCCACGAACGCGATGATCAAGCACCATACCTTGGTGAGAATGAGACCCTTGTCTCGCAAATCGTGATCAGCTGCAGCAGCATCCGCATCCGCATCATCGTCATGGGATCCGCCGTGGGATTGCGCCGCGCCGATGTGGAGGAGGATGATCCCCGCCCACAGCAGCAAGGCGGCGCTGATCCATCGCGCCATACCTAAGACAAGCTTTCAACTTAGAACCTTTGAACTTCCAAACCATGGGAATGAGATAGGATTTATCGATAGCTGAATTATTCGGCTAGAGCCGGGCGCAACACGCCAACTGTACTCCAGTACACACACGTTGTGCCGATTGCTAGTACAAAGTACAGCCCTAGTAGAAGATTCAACGCCCTAAAACAGAGCACTGCAACAGTGGACCGACGACTTCGCTTCCAACCGCGAAGTCTCGTTTGAATGCCCGGATGCTTGATCTCCGTGATTCAGGGTGCTTGATCCAGGCAAAGCTGCGTCGGCCGCCGCATTTAGACAAAGGCGGTGGAAAGATCGCAGAGATGTGGTTACGCTCTCTTCTCCACGTGAACTATTATACTACTTCTAACTGAGATCACGATTGAATTGAATTGGATTGGATTGGATGGGTGGGGTTTTTGATATTTCCCAAAGATGATCCGAGGTGGGTGCTGGCTGGCGGTGCGACAGCCTTTTCATTCCTGATCGAGAGAGAGGAGGAATAGAAAATCTTCTGAATTTGATGGTTGTTGAAAGGATCAGGTGTACGCATGGGACGGACATTTGCCCTTGCTCCGCGATTGGTCACTGCCCTGGCGGCGTACGAAAGGAACGCAAAAAAATAGAGAGAAGAACTCCGCTTACCTCCCCAATTCCCGGGGGAAGGGCTCCTCCTCCTCCGTTTGTTGCCGAGTCGTCAAGGAATGGATTGCACCCCCTCACCAAACAATAGATGGTGGTTGCCTGGAAATCTAAAAATAAAGAAGCACCGCTTTGTGTTATCCGTAGCTCAAAAGATCGATCGAAATGGGATCTTAAGTGATGGTAGAGTTCAAAAGACTGGTCACAATGGGATCTTATACCGCACGATAATCTCTGCCTTCGTATTTGCTTAGCTTTATGAAGTTGAAAATGCAAATTTATGTCCAGTGGGGCTGGGCATGGGGCTCGCTCGCTCAGATACAGCCTCAACTCTGCTTTCCCTTTCTTTACTAAAAGAGAAAAGAGAAAAGGGAAAGAGAGGGAGAAGCTGGGATTCCTCTATGCGTATGCCGCAGAAGTCCGACTAAATGGATTGACATTTGCGAGCTCAACGTAAACATCACCGAAAGTTTCTCCGCAATTATTTATGCTCAGTGGAGAGGAGACGAGCAACAAGAAATTGGCGTACTGTAGACGCTCAACGCAAATCAAAGCAAGACTTACTTTGGTTGAAAGTGAAGAACTCGGCCAGCCAGCTAGCCGGGCAAACAAAACAGCGTGGGCTGGCCGGGCAAAAAATTTACATTGCTTTGTTTTTGCATGGCCACCTTTCATGCCACGGACAATGGCTGCGGCGGTCTTTGAGTTGACCAGAGCGTACGCAGCGCCGGTCAAAGGAGCCAACCGGGATGCAGCTCAATAGTGACGCAGACAGTGCTGAGTGCGACGGATGGCGCAGAGCTATTTCGCCCTAATGCGTACGTACGCAATGTACGGTTCCAAAAGGACAGAGGGGAAAATGCTACAGCTGCCGCGCCGCATGTTTGATGTGAGAGAGAGACATGGGAAAAAGGAAGAACCCGAAAATCTGAAATCTGGCACCAAACAGAGAGGGAGATTATGCTGGTGGATATTCCATTCCCCCCTGGAGCTATAAAATTTTCCCATTTTTGTTATCCAAGGAAGCCATTGGATTCGAAAGCCAAAATGCAGCTACAAATATACGCCGCTCTTAATTTAGGGGCCGCGTATACTTAGGCCCCCAGGATGATCCATCCCTTTAGGTTGCTAGCTCTATCGCCAGGACCAAGGATTCCAATCGCAGCTCTCGCAAAGTGGTGGAAGTTATAAGATCAGGAAGATCGAGAGGAGCTCAGCTATGGTGTGGGCGCTGCTGGTGCTCCTCACCATCTTGTTGCCGGCGATGCACTCGTGGGCTCCCGCGGCCGAGGCCATCCGATCTTCCCAGTTCGGGCAGCAGCAGCTCTTCCACGAGGCTCCAGCGTTTCGAAACGGCAAGGAGTGCCCGCGGCAGAGGCTAGATCCAGCGCAGCGGCCCGGGTGGTGCCATGATCCGGGCGCGATTCACGTAGCAATGACGCTGGATCGCGCCTATCTCCGCGGCTCCATGGCCGCGGTGCTCTCCATCGTCCAGCACGCCGTCTGCCCCGAGAGCATCGTCTTCCACTTCCTCATCGCGTCGCCCGGGCATGATCACCATCCCGAGGAGCTGCCCATGGACGCGCTCCAATCCGTGGTGAAGCAGACGTTCCCGTACCTCAGGTTCAAGGCGTACGAGTTCCAGGAGGCGCTGGTCCGCGGCCGGATCTCCTCCAGCGTGCGCTCCGACCTCGAGCAGCCCCTCAACTACGCGCGGAACTACCTGGCGGCGATGCTGGACGAGTGCATCCACCGCGTCATCTACCTCGACTCCGATGTGGTGGTGGTGGACGACATTGCCAAGCTATGGCGGACGGAGCTCCGGGACGGCCACGTCCTGGGCGCCCCGGAGTACTGCGCTGCCAATTTCACCAGGTACTTCACGCCCGCCTTCTGGAGCAACGAGACGCTGGCGTCCACCTTCGCGGCCAGGTCCTCCACGCCCTGCTACTTCAACACCGGCGTCATGGTGATGGACTTGCGCGCGTGGCGGCGCGGCGGCTATACCGCCATGCTCGAGGCCTGGATGGACGTGCGCAAGGAGAGCAAGATCTACGAGCTGGGATCGCTGCCCCCTTTCTTGCTGGTGTTCGCGGGCGAGGTGGAGGCGATCGAGCACCGGTGGAACCAGCACGGCCTGGGCGGGGACTGCGTGGTGGGCAGCTGCCGGGATCTCCACCCGGGGCCAGTGAGCTTGCTGCATTGGAGCGGCAAGGGCAAGCCATGGGCGCGCCTGGATTCGGGCACGCCATGCCCGCTCGACAGCCTCTGGGCTCCCTATGATCTCTTCCGCTACCGCCATCGCCACCCGCAACTGGCGCTCGCGCTCTCCATGGTGGCCTGAGAGAGAGAGAGAGAGAGAGAGAGAGAGGGAGAGAGAGGGGGAGAGGGAGATTCGTGAGCACCGGTGGTCCGGCGCGATCCATCGCTGGATCGCATCCCACATTCTTGGATTTTGGATTCTTGTTCTTGTTCTCCTTCCTGGGTTGTAGAAGGGAGCAACCATACATACATTATAGGTAAAAGCAACAGAAGATTGAGACTTCTTCCATGGTCGCCTTGCCCTAGCTCTAGCATCTACATTTGCGATGGAGGAGGTCCAGAGCAAGCTCATGGCGCTCGACTACCCGCGAGCTTCGGTGCCGGCGCAATCGCTGCTCTACGCCGGCCTGGAGCGCTATGCGCTGCTCGAGTGGCTCTTCTTCAAGTAAGTTCTTGAGCTTTGCTCGCCCTTTCCACGCCACGCTCTCTTGGCATTTGGTGTTTGATTAGGCTCCTAGGGGATAAGTCGCCTTTCACGCAGCAAGGAGCACAGGGCGATGGCACCGAGCGGGACGAAGAATCTACGCGAACACAGCGTGAGCCCATTCTCGAATCCAGATTGTGATTGTGGCAAAGGCGACGACCTTTTCATCTCTTTCGCAGATTTAGCTGAGATCGCCAGGTTTCTGGGCTTGACACCGACTGTGGATCTAGACGCTGTCCAGGTAACTCTGGCTTAAAGTGTGTGGATTTTGTGGATCCGGCAAACCAATGCTCCTTCCACCACAGGGTAAAGGGAGCTACGAAAGTCGTGCCGAGATGCTGCGCTTGATTGTCAACCTGGTTGAGGCGAGCTGCGTCGCTGACAATCCGGAATGGAGGTTGGTGCTCTTTCCTCTCAAACCCGTATGAACGCCACCACCCTCATCCTCGTTTCGTGCGTGCCTATAGTGTGGATGACCAGGTTGCCAAGGACATCCAGTTCCTTGATGCTATCTCGGAGAAGCAGGCCCAAGTTTTCTCCGAGGAATGCAAGCTCTTCCCGCCCGACGTACAGATCCAGACGAGCTTCCCAGTGTAAGTGACGCGTCTTGTGTCTGTCTGGTTAACGCTCGACCTTGACTTTGTTTGCAGGCCGGACGTGTCCGAGCTAGAAAACAAACTCGCCGACTATGTCAAGCACCTGGCCGATCTCCAGCAGGTTGTTGATGATCTGGCCTCGAAGGTGGGTTTCTCCTCTCGTTTTTTAATGCTTGAGCTTCATGTGCTGCTTTGACTCGGATCCAAAACCGCTGAGTTCTGCCATTGGTCCAGCAAAACTACAACCCGAATGAAGACCATTCCGAGGCTGGGAACGAATTAAAGGCGCAGCTGGAATCTTTCCTCGAGACCGCCAAAGTATTCAATCATATATATTCAAAGGTGCCCGCGCTCTCCCCCTCTTTCTTTCGCTCTCGTACGATGTATGTTTGTTGTGATCACGTATACCCCGCAGGAAATACGACCCTGGACACACACGATGGAGCTGCCCCAGCTGCATGGATTGGGACCGGCTGCGAACCGGCTGTTGGAGTCGTATAAACTCCTCCTCAAGGTGAGAGACGTGAAAACCAATCAACTGCACTGAACCCTCCAATCCTCCGGTGGTTGCAGCTGCTTCGCAACCTTCGTAGCTTGCGGGACTCGCATGCAGCCATCGCCGCCGTCTCTGAAACTTCAACTTCTCCCACCGCCACCTCCGTGGAAGATGGTGCTGCTACCACTGCTCGCGCCGACGGCTCCCTCGAGAAGCTCGTGTCCGAGTGCGAGGAGGCACTCGTCGATCTCAACCGCGGGCTTGCGGTCCTCTCGGCCTCGGCGGCACGGGTGACAACTTAGTGGGCCATCGTACGGACGTGTGTACTTGGAGCAAAGCAGTTATCTGTTGGTGGATCCGACCAGCGGGGCACCGCGAGCTGAGTGGGGGAATTATGAGATGCGTCACCTTTCTGGGATGTCGTGGGCTCCAAATGGATCGGCCTCTCGTTCGCTCCCTCACTAGTCGGCGCCTACAGTGGCTCGCGCAATCATTTTTCTCTTGACTTTGTCACCGAGCAATGCTTTGCTTTTCGCGCTTGTGATCTCCTTGTCAGTCGCAGTCTCGGCTTGGGGCGGGTCGACTCAGGTTCGCAGAACTTCACTCCTGTTCGCAGCTTCTTTCCTTTTCATTTCTTCGCAAAGCTTGAGCGCTCTAACGTTTCCTCTCCAGGGAGTGTGGTGGTATGTCGGGTGTGTGGCTGTTTCGAGACGGCGTGGCCACGCTTGTGCGGAATCCGATGAAGCAACCGCTGGACAACTTCAAGGCTTGGGAGCCGCCAAAGAAGCAGCTCGTGTACCGGGCCACGAACGAAGTCATCACGTCTTTCGATCTGCTCGAGGACAAGCTTTTCGCGCTGGGATGGGAGAGGTGTGATTCCGAGGCGGAGGAGAGCCGGCAGTACTTTCGCAGCGTCAACGGGCCATACTTCATCTCGCTGCCGGCGGACTTCACCAAGCTGAAGACGACACACATGTATGACATTGTTGTCCAAAGCCGGACTGCGTTCGAGGTCCGCGATGTGCTCAAACACCACCAGCACAGCTGACAGTTATCTATGCTTCGCTACGCTCGTCAGATGATCCTCCTCCAAGTCCGGACAGCCCCGCGCTGGGATTGGACCATATATGAGGACCACCCAAGTCCGCAATGAAAAGATTTTCCAGAGTCATTTCGTTCCTCTCAATCTTGTCTCTGGCCTCTTGAATCGCAGAAGACGCGGCTTTCACCACCTGGTCTGTGGAACTTCCAGCAATGCCGGCGACTACAGTTAGATGTGGAGTTTGCGTGCTTAGCTCCTCCTCGTCTTCGGGCCTGGAGAACGATAACAGCGTCAGTGGGAACGCATATATAGAAATTAGCGGATCAACGCACGTTTGAGCTGGCAAGTTGAGTCCCAATCTGTCAAACCATCCACTGGCTGTTGCCAAAAAAACAAAACACAGCAGTCAGAACCAAAATCCAAGAAGAGCTTCTTTACCTTTGTGAGGTTTCTTCTGTTCGTGGTGGCTGACAACGGCATTCTCCGTCTCAGATGTCACCCTGTAAGCAGCACGATATGACCCTTGTGAGAACAGCTTTCAAGAGTACCTTCGCTCGAATGAGTCCACTAAGATGGGAAAGCTCGGTTGGATTCCGGCTAGCATTCTGCACCACTTGTTCCCAAAAATGGCTCTATCCAAGGTGTCTTGAAAATACATCTGTGCAGCCTTGGCCATGATCGACTCGAGCACAGAGCTCCATTCGTCCATGTCCTCTACAAAATCCTGAATCTGTGAACATAGAATATTTTATCAGTACGAAAATTCGCTAGGCAAATATACGTCTTGTGACTCCAGCATCTCGAGGTCATCTTCAGCCATATCCGACGGGAAGTCGCTCACTTGATTGTGTCTTCGAGCCCGTCGATTTCGAATCAGTGACTGATAGTGATGTTCCATAGACGATCTAATCACCCCGTCCAGCTCTTCCTTTTTAAAAAAATGTGGCCTGAACCTGTACCACGGCATTATATCTTACTCAAGGAAGAAAACGTTAACGTACCACCGCGCACCACTAGGCCCAACGACAAGAATGCTCAAACAGTGAGATGTGAACACCGGAACACCTTGAAATTGTTGAGCGGCCTTTCCACCTTGCTCCTTCTTTATAATGGTTTTGGCAAGATCTACCTGCAGGCATGGATGTGAGTTGTCACTTGATAAGCTGCGCAGCGCAGCTACCTGTTTTTTCGAAGGAATGAAACTAAACAGCGAAGGCCTTTCCTGTGAGCAAAACAAGCAACGTATTAATACAAAGAAAGAAACCAGTGTTGAAGAACTTTTTACCTTAAAGAACTTATATGCGAGATGCAAGGGAACGGAACCAATCTCCATGTCGGGCACCTTTAAGCGATTGAGATACGCCTCTGGCATGACACAAGATAAAACACACGACCGAGTTTAGCGACGAGGCTTGTGTCGATCTCTCTATTTCACCTAGGACATGCAAAGCATACTTGCATCATCGTGATTGATATAGAAGTGAAACGCTGGGCCTTTGGAAGCCTCGACGCGAAGTATCTTGGACAGAAACCTGTCACCATAGCACCATAATCCTGTAAAGAGGAGATTAGATGCATGCGAGCCTACCTCTTGACGAAAGAGCAAGAGAATGGAAGGTCTTTGAGGTACCGCTTCTCTTCCACACCCACAAGGCAGCTGCGAGAGCTCGAGTAGAGGCCAAATACTTGTCCCGCGAAGCCCAGGCCCTTGCTGAAAACAAATCCATTCGGCTTGGCCGGCCTGGATTTCTCCTCGGTGTGTGCTCCGTGTGTGCTCGTGGAGCTCCCCAGATTGTGGAGTGTGACCAATGGTACCAGGCTCTTGCTGTCCGCTCCAAGAGCGCTGGCGAGCTGGAAGAGGCCATCCCGACGCACTAGCCAAAACAAGAAGCTTCATGAGAGACAGCGACGGAGCTCCAACAATACCTACGATGGTGGTGAAAATCCACCGCTGCATTGAGCACGGAGCACAGCGCGCCTCCAATGCATACCTTGCGGCAGCGGCCCTGCTGCGCCGTGGGGACGGGAATCCACCACAGCTCCTCCTCCTCCTCCTCGTCCAGCAGAATCGCCATGGCCAAGTTCCCTAGTGAGGCTAGGGTTTCCAGCAAATGAAGCGCAAGGCGGAGGGAATTGCCCTGCTCTCGCTCTACAACGACGAGGACGAGGACGACGATGGAGAGGAGGAGGAGGGCAAGGAGGCTGCCGCCATTGTGGATTACGCGCACGACGAGGCGACAGAGGTGGAGGTGAGTGATGGCATGGGTTCCAAGGCAGTGAGTTGCTTTGTTTTTTGCGCTAGGCCGCGGAGCTAGGAGTTTCGAAAGAAGAAGGAGAAGAAGAAGCTGGCGGCGCCACCGCCACCGCTGTGGCTCCGCCAGATCCAAATTCCTCTCCTCCAGCACCCCGAGAACAAGTCACGCCGCAACAAGAAGAGCTCGTGTGTCTCGACGAGAGCTTAGTCGCAGATTTTCTTCCATCGCCACCAACATGCAAGTGTTCTGACGAGCTACAGGTGGGTGTCTCCCTCTTTTTTCCTTCTCCTTTACGTGTATCATCGTAGTTTTGCAGGACAAGTTCACCTGGTTCTTGTCGCTCAAAGATGCTGGCAGGAGTTTCAACGACGAGCTCCGAAACTCGAAAGGCTACCGGAATCCCGACTTCTTGCACCGTGCTGTAATCCACCAGGGCGTGGATCAACTCGGGAGCTGCTTCAAGAAGGAGATATTTGATCCACATGGCTATGATCCCGAGGACTTCTATGACGCTCTCGGTAAGTTATGCGTGCGCTCTCGGTACCTCGGTCCTGACCCGAGTCTTCTCTTCTAGCACTCGAGCAGAAACGGGAATTCGACCGTAGAGACATGGAGAGGAAGCAGAACCAGAAGCTGGAGTTTGTGCGAGCGAACACTCTCGCTGCCGCCGCGAAGATGATGCAGCAGAAAGGTCTGTGGTATGTGTGGCACACAAGTTTGTGGTTTCTGATGGTGCAAAGCTTGTAGTGAACGTTAACGCATCAATACCATCCTTGAACGAGGCGGCTGCTGCGGCTGCTCCAAAGCCTGAAAGCAGGACCAACAAGAAAAGCAAGTGGGATAAGGTGAGACTTCTTTCTCGTTTCATGCCTTTCATTTTGCGTATTGTGTCGCCAATAGGTTGAGCCCGACTCTCGGAGCATTGGTGGTGCATCGTTGAGTAGCCAGAACGCTCTGGCCGCGGCTCTGGTGTCCGCAAATGCAGCTGCTCTGAATTTCGCGTACGTCGTTACGCTGGCTTTGAGTCTTGTGATTGATTGATTGATTGATGTGTTTCCAGACAAGCAGCTCAGGCTATCCAGGGGGTCCAGCAACACAAGCGGAAGGACGAGGACAGGCACGGCAAAAACCTCCGCTGAACCTTCAAACGGAGAAGGGAATATTTAGGAATGTTCTTTTATCAAGAGAAATGGAGGCCAAGGGTTTAGGGTTTAGGGTTAGGGCTGCTGCAAATAGGATGGAGACGAGAGTTTTCCCAAGTCGAGCTTATGCATGGCGTCTGAGCTTTGAGGGTGTGATGCCACAAGAGTGGTGGGATGGATTTGCAACAAAAGCCGAGATGTACAACTCACTTGGTCGACATATAAAGGCCAGGCAACTCAGAACAAAAGATGTGGCACCAGGGATTGATAAGCAAGTTCTTGTCGAGTTGGGTCTGTTGGAAGAAGCGAACGCTGACAAGCTCACGAAGTGGGGCTATCGAAAGCTGGTCAGGGAGTTCAATGGAGACTTCAAGTCGGCAAAGGCTCTATTGATCGACTTCTCCATGACCACCAAAGAGCTTGCTAGCTTATCAGCTCTAGAGATGCAGGAGAAGCTTGCGCAGTGCCTGAGGTCAAAGGGGATTGAGGGTGACGGGTTCGAAAAGGTTTTGACGGTTAAGAGCTGGGTCACATATCATAACCCAGCTGTTGGCAATTTGCTTCCGGCGTCCAGAACCTGCCGTGAAGAAGATGTCGAGGGCGAGGTTGTGAACATTGTTAAAATAGACAAGTCCATTATCAACAAGATCGATGCTGCCAGCACAAAGGAGACTGCTAATGAAGAAGATGTAAGTTTCTATTTCTTCTTTCCAATTGTCACGAATGACACTGCAGAAGCCTACTGAGGAGAACAAGAGTGAAAAGAACAACAGCGTGGAGGTGCCCAAGAAAAGAAAAGATGTAAGTTTCTATTTCTTCTTTCCAATTGTCACGAATGACACTGCAGAAGCCTCCTGAGGAGAACAAGAGTGAAGAGAACAACAGCGTGGAGGTGCCCAAGAAAAGAAAAGGAGAGAAAAAGGCCAACAGAACAAGGAAGAAGAAAAAGATCGAAATACATCTTAAAATTTATGTCTAAAAACTAAATGAATCCTCCTATAACTAAATAGTTTTTGCCACGTCATTGAGCTCAGCCAATCAGCACGGTTCACGAGGATCGTGCTTTCTAAAACACATCGTGCCCGTGCGTTTCGTAAGAAGTGATCGGGACCGTCGGGAGCAAACACGTGAGTGCTAATATAAATAGTGCCAGTCCTAGGGCTTGAGTCCCAGTAGGTCAATCTACAATGGCGCGTACCAAGCAGACCGCTCGCAAGTCCACCGGAGGAAAGGCGCCCAGGAAGCAGCTCGCCACAAAGGTTTGTCTCTCCCTCCAGATTGTCGATTCGGCCTGGTTCTGACGATCGTCTCGGCCTTTTCAGGCTGCCAGGAAGTCTGCGCCTACCACTGGGGGTGTCAAAAAGCCCCATCGCTACCGCCCAGGAACTGTTGCACTCCGGTAAGTCATGCGTCTCTCCAGCGTTCTCGATCTCCAGCGTTCTAATGCGATGCCTGTTTCCGCATCTGCAGTGAGATCCGGAAGTACCAGAAGAGCACCGAGCTGCTTATCCGCAAGCTGCCCTTCCAGAGGCTGGTTCGTGAGATTGCACAGGACTACAAGGTGGGTTCTCTTGTCTTGCTTGTGTTTCTTCTGACGCTTGGGTGTTTGTGGAACCAGACCGACTTGAGGTTCCAGAGCCATGCTGTTTTGGCGCTGCAGGAGGCGGCCGAGGCTTACCTGGTGGGCCTCTTCGAGGACACCAACCTGTGCGCTATCCATGCCAAGAGGGTGACTATCATGCCCAAG